CAGACAGGCCCCTCGCTGGGGCAGTGAGGCTTCCACCCTGAGAAGGCCCTGACCCCACAGGCCTGGACCCGGCTGAGAGGGGGTTGGAGTCCCCGCCTGGGGCAGCCCCTCTGCACCTGGGGACCTGGAGAAGGAGCCTTGGCTGCTGGTGGGACTTTCCTCCCAGCTTTGAGTCACTGCCCTGCACATGCAGTGACTTGTAAGAGCTTTTGTTTCACACTGTTCATCCTTTAGGTGACTTTTTTTTCTGACATGGAGTTTTGCTCCTCACCCAGGCTGGAGTGCAGTGGAGCAATCTCGGATCACTGCAGCCTCAGTCTCGCAGGTTCAAGTGATTCACCCACCTCAGCCTCCTGAGTAGCTGGGATTACAGGTGCCCGACACCAGCCACAGCTCATTCTTGTATCTTTAGTAGAGAGAGGGTTTCACCAGGTTAGTCAGGATGGTCTCCACCTCCTGACCTCAGGTGATCCACCCACCTCCGCTTCTGCCTCCCAAAGTGCTGGGATTACGGGCGTGAGCCACCGTGCCCGGCTGAGGTGACTTTTGATGGTGAGATAACCCACAGGAACGGTGAGCTGCCAGGCAGAGAACCCACATGCAGGGAGGGCCCTGTCTCCCCCGGGGACCCCGTCTTCTGGGGAACCTCTGGTGCCACATGGTCAGGATGCAGGGCCTCTCCGTGGGCACCCAGGCCTCCTCTGAGCCACTTTAAACTCTGCCTGCATGCTTCCTTCACTGTGGCAAAAGCTACATCACATTAAACTGACCATTTCACCATTTGCAAGTGTGCAAATCAGTGGCTCTAGTCCACTCACAATGCAGCTGGAGCCGCCCTTTCCTGAATTCTGCAGGGTAGGGCTGAGGGCAGTGGGCCCTGTGACGCAGACTGGGACCCACTGTCCAATGGCAGGGCTCACTTCTGGGAAAACCACAGGTCCCTGGTGCCAGCCTTCTCCCAGCAATGGTGGTTCAGTCTCTCCATCCACTTCCCGTGCAAAAGCCACACAGTGGGTCCAAACCTCAACACTGCAGACAGGAGGAGAGAGAGAGTGAAAGTGGCTCCCAGCCTTTCCAGCCACCCCCTGGGAACAGCTGCACACAGTGGGTCCAAACCCCAAAACTGCAGACGGGAGGAGGGAGAGTGAAAGTGGCTCCCAGCCTCTCCAGCCACCCACTTGGGACACCTGCCTGCCCGGCGCTCTTCAGACACCAGTACTCCCTGAAGCCAGCGTGGTCAGTGCTCTGGGAGCTGCCCAGGCCCGGGGAGCCGCTCCTCTCAGCAAAGTTCAGCCCCAGGGATGAGCCCAGATGAGGAAGGAGAGCTCTGTGCCTCCAAAGCTGCTGCCCTGGCAGAGCTACCCCAGGAACCCGAATTCCAGCCCAGACGGTTCTGGACCCAACAACTGTGTCTCCCCTGATTTTCTGTGTGGAGCCCTAAGGCCCAGTGATGATGCATTGGGAGGTGGGCTTGTGGGGAGGGAGAGACACCATGCCCCCTCTCTCTGCCCTGCCCAAGGGGAAGGCCGAGTGGGGACATAACGAGCAGGTGCCATCTGCAAGACAGGATGAGACCCTGCTGGGAACTAACCCACCTGCACTGGCCATGTGTGGATTTTGTTAAATTTCCCCTTCAGCATTTCATGGTTTTTTTTGATGCTGATATGTTCTTGCTTCCTCTAAAATTCAAATTCCAGTGTTGACTTAAAAAATCTCGACCTTGCGTCTTGTGACCTCAATAATAAGCTTACTGGTTTTCATACCTGTTTTGTCGGCTTCTTGGACTTTCATAGACACAAGCATATTCTCTGCAGAGAGGCGATGTCTTTCCCCTTCCCGTCCAGTCCTTATACCTTCCATTTCTTTCTCCTGTCTAACTGCCCCAGCTAGGACCTGCGGGTACCATGTTGAGTGCAGGTGCTGGAGGGGGATCCTTGCCTGGCTCCTGATGGTCCGGAAGACTCGGCATATTTCACCTGCGGCGTGAGGCCGGGGGCGACTCTGCAGCCGACTCCCGGCTCCGCTTCTGCGTGGCTCCCTGGTCTCTGCAACTTGCAATTTCCAGCTGCCATCCTTTTTCCATTAACCAGTCCATTTCTCTTCTTTTTTGGTCCTTTCCTTCCTTTGTTTTGGAGAAGAGGCTCTCTCTATATCGCCCAGGCAGGTCTTGAACTCCTGGACTCAAGCTGTCCTCCCACTTCGGCCTCCCTAAGTGCTGGGAGGACAGGCGTGAGCCATCGCGCCCGGCCCCAGCCCATTACTTAAAGTGTAAAGCGGGTTTCTTGTGGGCGGCCTTTGGTTGGCTCTTGGCTTTGTGTCTAATATGACCGTTTCTGTATTAACTGGAATATTGGGACCATTTCTATTCAAAGTCATCACCTGTGCGGTGGGTGTGGGAACATCACCTTTCCATTCTGTGCTGTTGCACGTTTCTGATTCCCCTTTTCCTACCCTCTGTCTGACGATTTCTGTCGTATTTCATTTCAGCCGCGTGGCTGATTCTTAGCGGTCCGTCTTTGTTTTCCTTACTCGGTGGTTGCTGCAGGGTTTGTGACGTCCATCTGCCCTTGTGACAGCCTGTGTTCAGGTTGTGGGAACACTGAACACGCCTGCACCGTCCCAGGAAGCACGGAACCAGAAGAATCTCACCGCCTCACTCTTGCCTTTCCCCTCCGTGCCTGGGACTATTATCATGCTTTTCATTGTACATTCCACAGACGTCACAGCTCATCGCTAACACGTTTGCATTAAGCAATTTATTATTTTTGAAGGTATTTAAAGTGAGAAAAAAGGTCTCACATTTCCTCCCACATTTGCCATTTCTTTCATGCATAATTCCTTTTATTATTATTATTTTTATTTTTTTGAAGACGGGTTTCACCATGTTGGTCAGGCTGGTCTTGAACTCCCGACCTGGGGTGATCCGCCCACCTGACCTCCAAAGTGCTTGGATTACAGGTGTGAGCCACCATGCCTGGCCTCATCCATAATTCCTTTGAGTAGATGTAAATTTCCACATGAGGCAGGGCACGGTGGCTCACGCCTGTTATCCCAGCACTCTGGGAGGCCGAGGTGGGCAAATCACCAGAGGTCAGGAGTTTGAGACCAGCCTGGCCAACATGGTGAAACCCCATCCCCACTAAAAATACAAAAATCAGCCAGGCGTGGTGGTGCGCACCTGTAATCCCAGCTGCTCGGGAGGCTGAGGCAGGAGAATTCCTTGAACCCAGGAGGCAAAGGTTGCAGTGAGCCAAATGGCAGCAGTGCACTCCAGCCTTGAGACAGAGTGAGAGTCCATCTCAAAAAAAAACCCAATTTCCATATGAATCAAACTCCTTGTGCTTGAAGAAAGCCCTTGGATGTTTCTTGTCATGCAAGCCTGTCTGCTGTGAGACCTTCTCTCAGCTGTCAGTAAGTCCTCCGTCTTTGATTTGCTTCCATTTCTTTCTTTCTTATATATTTATGTATTTATGAGATAGAGTCTTGCTCTGTGGCCCAGGCTGGAGTGCTGTGACATGAGCTCGGGTCACTGCAACCTCTGCCTCCCGGGTTCAGGCGATTCTGGTGTCTCAGCCTCCAGAGTAGCTGGGACTGCAGATATGAGCCACTACACACGGCTAATTTTTGCATTTTCAGTAGAGACTGGTTTTGCCACATTGGCCGGGCTGGGCTCAAATTTCTGGCTTCAGGTCATCCTCCCGCCTCGGCCCCCCTAGACTGCTGGGATTACAGGTGTGAGCCACTGGGCCCGGCCTCCAGTTCATTTATTTTTGTAACTTAAAAGACAAGGTCTTGCTCTGTTGCCTGAGCTGGCCTCGAATCTCAGGGCTCAAGGGATCCTCCTACCTCGGCCTCCGAGTTGCTGGGACCATGGGCGCAGGCCGCCATGCTTGGCCCATTTTTGACGGAGAGATTCACTGGGTTTGGAATCCAAAGTTGAGCTGCTCTCTCAGCGTCGTAAGGCTGTTTGCTTGCTTTCTGCCCTGCCCTGTTCCTGGGACGAGTCCTTGCTTCTTTGTACCTGAACGTGGCCTCACCCGAGCCCGTGTCCAGCTCCTGCCTGTGGCCCTGGTTTCTGGGCGTTGATTAGGATTTGCTGCTCTGCACCTGCCTCCCTACTGACCCCTCTTAGGGTCTGTTATCCTTTTGCATTTGAGAGATTACAGTTTTCTTGTAGTGTAGAAAACTTTCACCTGTTTTCTTCAACTGATGTTCTGTTCCCTCCTCTCTCTCTCTTTCTCTGGGACTCTAACTGCACTTCTGTTAGGCAGCTCCGTATTTTCCAGGGCATCTTGAAGAATCTGCTCCTTTATGCATTTTCTGTTTGTATCTCACGTGGGGTAGATTCTGATACTGTATCTTCATGTTCACTGGTATTTTGAGATGTCTAATCTGTTGTTAATCTGTGTTTTTGTTTTTGTTTTTGTTTTTGTTTTGAGACAGGGCTTCCTCCGTCGGCCAGGCTGGAGTGCAGGGGTGAGATCATGGCTCTCTACAGCCTTGACCTCTGGGGCTCACCGGCTCAACGGATCCTCCCACCTCCGCCTCCCGAGTAGCTGGGACTCCACGTGTGCGCCACCAGGCCTGGCTACTTTTTGTATTTTTTGTGTAGATGGGGTTTTGCCTGTGCACAGGCTGGTCTGGAACTCCTGGGCTGAAGCCATCCTCCTGCCTCAGGTTCCCAAAGTGCTGGGATTACAGGTGGGAGCCAGCGCACCTGGCCTAATCCTACTGTTATCGCCTGAACGGCATCCCTCTGGAACTCACGCTGTCTCAGAGTGGGACGGTGTGAAGAGATTTGGACTGTATAGAGGTGACTGGCTGAAGGAGGCCGTGTGGGCGGGCCCTGACCCCGAACGACTGGAGCTCTCCTGGGGGAGGAAGTGTGGACAGACATGTCAGGGAGCTGCAGGCACAGAGAGAAAACCGTGAAGACATCAGAAAGATGCCACCTGCACCCCCAAGCAGAGCTCTTGGGGGCAAAGCTGCTGCCCCCCTCACCCCGGTTTCCAGCCTCCAGCCTGAGGCAGCGTTTCTGTCGGGAAGCCACAGACCGAGGCGTCCTGTGACAGCCGCCCTCGGGGACTCAGGAGGCTTCCCGGCATGTTATTCCTTTCAGACTTGGTTCCCTGTCACAGCTTCCGCTTCTCACACCAGGCGTACGTTTTCCTTCAGCGGACACCGTGGCTGTGATCTCAGGGTCCACGTGACCGTTCCTCCGTGGCTGCCCTTCTGGGTCTATGGCTGCTGATTCACTTGCCCACAGGCACCTCTCCCTGCCTCTGGGCAGGGCGGCAACTTCCTCTTGGGTGCGGACCGCGGTGCTGTGACGGCTTTGATCTCCTGGCATTTCTGCTGGGTTGCTTTGGGCCTTCCTTGAAAGGACGCTGCCGTGGAGTTCAGCTCCCTGCTGTTCGCTTTGGTCTTCCCGTGGCTGGTTCTGAAGCCTCTTAGAGCAGGTCCGGCCCCACTCCCGGGACGTGCCCTGCTGGGCGGCTGCCGACGGCCCAGGGTCCTCAGGACTCTCCCTCTGACGGTTGGAACTCCGGTCTCCCACCTGTGAGTTCTGGGGGTCCACAGCCCCCTAGGGCTCCCGCCACGCTCACGGGTCTACCCTCCACACACATGGCGCCCGACTCTGGAGGCCTCGGAGACCCTCAGCAGCCTTCTGGAGCTTTCTGTCTGTGCCGTTCCCTCCCTTCTGGGGCCCTGCCTGCCAGGTCCTGCTGCAGACGCCTTTCTGAGCCTTGAGCTCCTTCTCCTCAGCCCTGCAGGACCACCCGCCCTACCTGGACATCCGCCCCTGCTCCACTGTTCTGAATGGGCCTCCAGCCCAGGGCCAGGGTGACCCTGGCCTTTAGCCCCGCCCCCCTCCTGCTGGGGGTCCGGTTCCATGGGGCCCGGTGCTGAAAACAGTCCATCCCAGGTTTCAGTCTCCCCCTTTGACATGAGGGAAGCTACCGGCTGTGTTGGGACCAGCTCCCTTCCAAGGAACACTCTGGCTGGTTCCAGAATTCTCCTTTGCTACGAAGGCCGCCGGGCACATCCCGCACTGGCCACCCTTCACCTCGGATGTGCATTTATCGATGAGATGCCCTAATGGGACCTCCTGGATCAAATAGTGTGATGATGCCGACACTTGGCTCCCCACAGCTTCATGGTGAAGTGATCTGAGACCTCCTCTGGTCTGTCCCTTTCCCAGGGTCAGGGGACCCATTTATGGAACCAGGACAGGAGGTGCCTTCCCCTGAGCCCTGTCTCAGAACTGGACCTGGGAGGCAGCGCCCAGTGGTGGCTCAGCCCCCAGAGCCACTTCTGAGGTCCAACACTCCTTTGCTCCCCTCAGGGAAGCCCCCTTGCCTGGACCCCAACTCTCGGTGCCTCAGTTTCCTCACATGGAAGGTGAGATGTTGAAGGTGCCTGGGCTGTGTCTGTGCACTGACCTAGGGTGACCATGAGCTTGGAGAACTCGAATGTCTGGAAGGATGGGTGCCAGCTGGCCAGGGGTGAGTTTGCCGATCACTGCAGGGCTGGGAGAGCTGCCTGAGGAGCCTCTGGGGTGCAAAGTGGATGAGAAGGGGGTGGGGAGACTGGGGCACACAGAGGGGCCCAGCATCCAGGGACAGTCAGGACCTTATGGGTGAACTGTGTTCGGGGCCCCAGCAGCAGTCTGGGGAAAGGCCCCCGAGGGTTGGGGAGGAGAATATGGGGGAAGACAGCGGGAGGAGCTCCCAGTGACACCTGTAGAAAGAGTGCCGGGCCCCATGGAGGGCCAGAGCCCAGCTGGGGATGTCTGGGCGGTGGGACAGAGTGGGGCTGAGGAGAGGGCTGAGGAGAGTGGGGAGGAGAGGGGAAGGAGGGGGGGAGGGGAGGGGAAGGAGGGGGGAGGGGAGGGCGGAGGGGAGGGCTGAGGGGAGGGCTGAGGGGAGGGGGACGGGAGGGCTGATGGGAAGAGAGGGGAGGAGGGAGGGGAGGGGAGGGAGGAGGGGAGAAGAGGGAGGAGGGGAGGGGGAGGATATGGGGGGAGGTGTTCTGGCTGCAGCAATCCAGTCCCATGGCAGATCCGGAGTTGGTCACATGGAAGCTGATGTGGGGAAGAGAGCTGGGGCCCAGGGTCCTGATTTGAGGTGAGAGTAGACAGCATCCTGAGGCAGGAAGATAGCCAGGGGACAGGAGGAGGTGGGGGAAGCAGAGGGAGGGGGATGGGGGAGCCCAGAGCCAGGAGTATTGGGGGTGGGCACTCCAGCCAGAGGCACCCTGAGGTTTCCCAGCAGGCAGCTGATGCCGGGACCTGTAGCCTGGAGGAACCGGGGCTGGAGACCTGGTTTGTCTGGGGCTGCTTGGATTCCCAGCAGACACCTCATCCTCTGGGAAGCCCTGGCTGCCCCACCTCCCCCGAACCTGCTCTGACTGCCCCCAGCCCCCAAGTTCTCTCTCTTTGGTGTGCAGGCCCGAGGCCTTGGAGCCACCCCCACCCTGGGCCACGATTGCTCTACACAGAGCTTCCTGGACCGCTGCCTGCCTCGACCTCCTCCCTTCCCTAGCGGCCTCCCCTGTGAGAGCTGCCCACCCCAGAGCCTCCTCCTCACGCTTTCATATGCTCTGCACACCCGACAACCAGCCTGAGAGCTGCCCAAAGCCTCCAGGTCACAGACTGTGCCTGGTGTCTCCACTCCCCTCTCTGGCTGGGCCATGGCTGGCCCTGTGTCCCATCCCCTACCCCATCACCAACTCATGCGCTTTCTCAGGGAAGGCTCTTCTTCACCTCATTTCCTGTGGGCTCCTCTTCATCCCTCAGAGCCCCGTGTGGCCTGAGCAGCCCCTGTGAGTGTCCACGACACACAACTCTAGACGTTTGGCTTCTAGACTGGAATCTGTCACAGACTGTGACCTGGAGGGCAGTGACCAGGCCTCGGCCTCAACCCCTGCCTGGCCTGCACTGGCACAGAGCAGGGGAGGCACAGGCCAGCCTTGAAGGTCAAGGAGTGGAGGGGGAGCCTTTAGCTGGGCCTTGGGACCCTGCCCTCCATCCCCCAGGGTGGGAGTCCAGCCCTCGGGTGCCCACAGCCCCTCTCCCACCCTCCCATCAATGGATGCCCAGCTGCTCCCATCAAGGAAAGGGGAAGTGTTTTTGGGGATTTTCGGACAGTCCCCTGGAGGCAGTCCTGCCGGGAGGTTGGGGTGTGGGGCTGACCCTGTGGGGATCCAAGAAGACCCAGGTCAGGCTGGGTGGAGGGCCTCACAGAGGGCAGTGGGGTGATGGGGTGCTGGGCCCAGGGGCCTGGGGCTCCTTCGCTGTTTCGGAGTGGTGGTGGGAGGCCCAGCCTGGGGGGTGAGGATCTGTGTTTTGTGTTTGTAATATCGACCAGCCTCAGCCTCAGTTTCCCCATCTGCTCCTGGGGCTGGTGTGCACAGAATGCCTTCTAAATCTCCTGCCTGGCCCCTGGCCCTGAGTGCCTGGGGTGGAGGCTCCCAGTGGTATCCCTGGGGCTCTGGGTTCAGGCCCTGGCTTTGACAGGAGGAGGAAGGACCCTTTGACCCTGGGCCCAGGTCACAGTGGTGTTTGGAGAGGCCTGGGCCACCAGGGTGCATTGCGTCTGGGGAGTCCTCAAGACAGCAGGCATTGGGCTGGGGACTCACCTGCCTCCCTCTCCCTGCTGGTTCTGGGGGGTCTGGGGGGTGTGATACCCTGGGGGCAACCTTGTCGGTGGGAACAGCTGGAAAGGGCCCCGTCTCTGGCCTCCCTGGGCTCCCTCATTTCCTCCCTGATGACCTTGGTGCCCTGGACGGGGCCTGGGTGGTGCTGGTGCCGGGAGAGCCAGAGCTGAATGAATGAAGGAATGAGTGCTGCAGTGAGTGGGGGTGCTGAGCGGTAGTTAGGGAGCCTAGGACCTTCCTCCTGTTGCCCCGAAGGCAACACCCTGGACCCCTGGAGTCTGCCTTCCAGGGGTGGGGGCAGACCACAGAGAAGTGAGGATGTGGGCGGAGGGCCGAGGCAGGCAGACACAGAGCAGGGAGCGGAGACAGGCCCCACTCAGCAATCAGAGGAGGCCTCATGGAAGAGGTGGCATGTTTAGGTGGTTGGTGAGGTTGGAGCCCTCAGGTATGGGCTAGTGCCCTTACAAAAGAGGCACTGGAGGGCTTCCTCCCCCGAACGTTGTCAAGACACAGGAGATGGAGCCATCTGGGCCAGGAAGGGACCCTCACCAGACCCCAAATCTGCGGCTTCTTGATCTTGGACCTCCAGCCTCTAGAAACATGAAAAATCAATTTGTTATTTTTTGTTTTTTGAGATGTTGTCTTGCTCTGTCACCCAGGTTAGAATGCAGTGGCACAATCTCAGCTCACTGGAACCTCTGCCTCCTGGGTTAAAGTGATTCTCCTTCCTCAGCCTCCTGAGTAGCTGGGATTCAGGCACCTGCCACCACTCCTGGCTAGTTTTTGTATTTTTAGTAGAGATGGGGTTTCACCATGTTGGCCAGGCAGATCTCAAACTCCTGACCTCAAATGATCCACCTGCCTCAGCCTCCCAAAGTGCTGAGATTACAGGAGTGAGCCACTGAGCCCAGCCAAATTTCTGTTCTTTTTAAGCCACCCAGTCTATGGTAGTTTTTCTTTTATAGCAACCTGAATAGACCACGACACCCTCCTACCTTCAACAGCTATGAGCGGACATGCTTAAATAAAACAACTTTCCAGACCCGAGGCACCGGGCAGCCAGGACAGCGGTTCGGGTGAGGTGCCTCCGGGCCCGGCCCTGCCAGCCACCGCCTGCTCCTCTCCCCTCTCCTCTGCCATCCCATCTTCTTTGCCTCGCCTCTTGCTTCTCTCCTCCTTCTCTTTCTCCACCTCCCCATAGCCGGGCTTGGAAAAGTCAGATAGACCTCTGAGGTCTTATCCCAGAGCTGCTGCCAGCCCAACCTCCCTGGAACCTGCCTTCACTGCCTGGAGCCCTGGGAGCCAGGGACGCTCCTCCTCAATGGGGCTGAGTGAGCTTGGGCGCTGCACCTGCTGCTCCCACATCCTTGGCCCCACTCCCACAGGTGCAGCAGCTGGCTGGAGACGGGGGCTGGCTCTGGGACCAGCAGCTCCCCTGGGGTGTGGCCTCTCTCAGTGAGCCTCATCATCATCGTCATCATCGTTTTCTCACACCTGGCCTAATCATATGCATGAAAAGAAGAAAGCAAAGGGGTGAGCACATGGCGGCCCCACAGGGCTCGTGTCCTCAGCCGTCGCCTCTCGGAGCTCTGTCCCCACAAACCTGGGAGGTGGCTCCAGAGCTTTTCCAGGATCTGAGGCTCCTCCCAGAGCGGCTGCTGCAGACTGAGGCAGGGAGGCTTCCTGCTGTGCGTGGAGCCCAGATGTCAGGTGGCCACTCTGTGAGAAGGGAAGATGGGGCCCCTGACCAGGGAGCCCTCTGCCACCCCTGCCCACCGCCTATCCCCAGAGGCTGTGGGGTGAAGGGCAGGCTGAGCTGGGTTGGGGCCTGGCCTCCCATTAGGCACTGGGGGACAGCTGGGTACATGGGGTCAGCCTCTGAAGAGCTCCCTGGAAATCTGGACAATGGTCAGGGAGCTGGTCCGTGCACAGGAAGGCCCGGGGTCCCTGGGGAGCACTCCTCAGGTCGGGGAGAGGACAATGTGGGGCAGGGCATCTGGAAGAGCCACTCTGTAGGGGCCCCAGGGCTCCAGCTGGCCGGGGGGGGGGTCTCTCCACACCCCAGGACGCTGGGCCAGGGCTTCCCTGGAAATAGGGGCCAGGACAAAGGGTGACAAGGGAGGAGTCGGGGTGGGCGGCTCAGATGGGGGTCTCTATTGGAGGCAGTAGGTGAGCAGGAAACGAGGGGGGATGTAGGGTCCAGCCCTACAGGGTTCTGTGAGCCCCTCTCTCCTGGAGAAACTGTAGAAATAAGAGATACAAGACACAGAGATAGAGAAAAGAAAGTTTGGGACTAAGGGTCCACTGCCAACCAAAGCCTGGAGGCCTGCAGGGACCCCTAGTGTCCGCACAATATGACTTTTATTGAGTACAAAGCTGGGGGCAGGGAAAAGTACATCATCGGTCAAACAGGTAGGGGCGCAGGAATTTTCCACAGCTGAGATGAGGTAAGGGGCATAAGGTATCAGCACTTTTCCATACTTGTCACAAAGACATTAAGATTTACCTTACTTTTACTGATTAATTCTTACAAGAAAAAAGGAACTGGGTGCAGAAGTGGATTATGAGATTGACATGGAATGTGACCGCTGAAGCACAGCATCACACAGAAACATTTAAACCCCCGATGTCTGACAGCCATCAGGCCTACAGAAAGAGCTTGGAGAAGCGGAGTTTTCTCCTAACTCCCCCAAGGAAGGAGAAGTCTCGGCCATCTTGGACGTCTCCTTCCCTAGCTGGCTAAACAGCGTGCGCTTTCACAGTGCTGCCGCTGCGGCACAGCCGAGGCACCCTCCGGCAGCCCTTGCGTGGGCGTGACAGAGGGCTTAGAGCATCTCGCCTTAGAGTCATTCATTTCACAGTGTCACCCAGGTTCACATTTCCGACCTGAGAGACATTAGTAAAGGAATTAAGATCTGGGTCTGTTGGTGGGGAATAGGGGAGGGACAGCGGGGGGTAGGGAGGTTGGGGAGGGATAACATGGGGAGAAATGCCAGATACAGGTGACGGGAATGGAGGCAGCAAACCACATTGCCATGTGTGTACCTATGCAACAATCCTGCATGATCTGCACATGTACCCCAGACTATACATATATAGGCAATAATATATATATGCAATTTTATATATATATATATATCTTTTACATTAAAAGAGGCTTAAGGAACATAGCAACTGGAAAAAAAAAGAATTAAGATCACCTATGAATAACTGAGATCACCTGTGAATAACTAAGATCACCTGTGAATAACTGAGATCACCTGTGAATAACTGAGATCACCTGTGAATAAGATCACCTGTGAATAACTGAGATCACCTGTGAATAACTGAGATCACCTGTGAATAACTAAGATCACCTGTGAATAACTGAGATCACCTGTGAATAACTAAGATCACCTGTGAATAACTGAGATCGCCTGTGAATAACTGAGATCACCTGTGAATAACTAAGATCACCTGTGAATAACTGAGATCACCTGTGAATAACAGATTTCCCTCCCCCGTGAATAACTAAGATCACCTGTGAATAAGGTCACCTGTGAATAACTAAGGTCCCCTGTGAATAACTAAGATTACCTGTGAATAACTGAGCTCACCTGTGAATAACTAAGGTCCCCTGTGAATAACTAATAACTACTACGGTTATATTTCTAGTTACTTTCTTCTTCATTATTTGTGTGGAAACAGGTGGAGGCCTTTGGTTCCTGCCTCGGTGCTTAAGGGGTCTTCTCCCTACAGGGGAAGGACATGTGGAGAGGGCACACCTTGGGGCTCCTCCACCCTCACGGCGTGGCGGTCGGGTTGTTCCCCTCACAGGTTCTGCCTCCGGATGTGGGGAAAAGGGCCTCATCCCAGGCACAAAACGAATGTGTGGCTCAGAGGCCTGGGCACACCCCTACCAGCAGGGCCTGGGTCTGTCGGGTGGCGGGTGAAGGCTGGGGGGAGGGGTCGGCTGGGCACAGAGGGCGTCGCTGATGCTGGGATATCTCAGTGGATACAGTTGGGAAGTGTATGTCAGATGTAGATCTGGGTATTTTTTGGGCAAATCTGAGACCACTTGAGGGCAGGAGGGCCCGCTGAGCACTGGGCTGTTGGGTGCGAAGGGGCTGGCGGGGGCTCCTCCTTGGGTGGATCAAGGGTAGAGGGAATGCCCAAGCGTGGAGGGGGAGGGCAGGGTGGCTGCATGCCCAGCAGCCATCCCGGAACTCCTCATTTATCAAGAAATACCGGCAGGTGAAAGTTTGAGGAGAAACAGGATATTTCAACCTCCCACACCCACAGGACCTCCCCAAATACAGTTTCACCACAAATAGACAACAGGAGCTGAGCTCAAGCTTAGAAAATCGCTTCGACTGTGATATCCATTTGATGCCACACACGTGGCCAACCAGTTCAGCCTTGATTGTGAGGCAGTGCCCGGGGCCTGTCCTGCTGAGGATTAAGACTGGCGGACAGCTGGGGTCTGGAGGGCCCTCTGGCCTGGCCAGGAGGGCTGGGCGTGTGGGCCAAGAGTGAGGGCTGTTCCTCAGGGCTCCGGGAAGCTCAGGCAGCCGCAGAACGGAGGAGCTCATTGGGCCATGGGGAGGGCACATGGCATCCCCAGCCCCACCCCAGCAGGGGCCCACCTCTCCCTCCGCTGGAGGAAACAGGAAACGGGAATCAGCCCAGGCAGAGCCCTGAGCTCCTCTGGCGCCTGCAGTCCCGCCAGGCTCCAGGTCTTTCTGGCATCAGGTGTGCAGTCTTTTGGTCAGTGGTTTGGGCTCTCCCCCGTGGATGTGGGTGTTGTCTCCACCTCGGCCACCGTGGTGACATGCGGAGGAGTCTGCAGGGCCTCGGTGACTGACTGTTCCTCACCTGCCTCCTGTCCAGGGACACGACAAGTCCTCGGGCTCATCTTACTGCTTTCAGTTTGAGGAGGTGGGTTCCCTCCTGAGCTCGCCTGGCTATAATTGAGCGACTTGGGAACCTCAGAGAACTGGAACCCCCCTCCCTGCACACCGAAAACACCAGCCCAGCAGGGAGTGGAGAAACAGGGGGCAGAGGAGAATCAATACCTGGAGGGAGGCATTCATCTGGAAGTCGCCTGCAATGAACAGACACACAGGTCAGGTAGCGGCAGTGTCTGATCAGAGGACACAGGCTCACAGCAATGGGGGTCTCATGGCGATGGCGGGGACACAGGCTCTCGGCAGTGGTGGGGGCACCAACTCCTCCCTCTCCCTGGGAGACCTTCCCTAAGGGACTGGCCCTATCTGAGAGCAGAGACCAGCTGTGTTTGGACTGCCAGCCCAGCCTGTCCAGGAGGGCTGGGGGCGCCCGGCCCACCTCCTCAGCTGCCGCCCAAGTGTGTAACTAACCCTGATTCAACCATCGTCTACGGGAGAGGGACAAGCACTTGACAGCGGAGAGGTCCTGTCCCCCATCCCAGCAGGTGCCCAGATGGGTGAGACTGAGCTGCTGCCCAGCCTACCCCAGAGTCTGAGACCCTGAGACCTCCCTGCATTGGGGGCCATGGGGGAGAATCAGGTAGCCTTGCTGCCATTGGCTGGAGGATGGGGCTGGCCTCCCCTTTGGACCTCAGTGTTAGAAGCTGTGTCCCTGGGGGCTGTGCACAGGGCTCCCAGGGCCACAGCTCAGTCCATACAGCTGGGTCAGTTCCCAGGAGGCCAGGCACAGCACAGGTGCCCACAGCACCGTGGATAAGTGGAGGAATGAATGAATGAACAAATGGCCTTACTCTCCTCAATGAGGACACGGCCTTGTCTGTTGACCCTCAGCCCAGCGCCTGTCCCAGCCAAGCTCAGCCTGCCCTTCTCCCCGCAGCCCCTGGGAGCAGGGGGTAGGCCACAGGGCTCTAGAGTGTGTGGACAGGGGCGGCAGTGGGCTCCCTGGTCAGGGGTGGCCTTCCCTTCCCCTGGGGCAGCCACCGGACACCCAGGCTCTGGGCATAGCAGGAAGCCCATCTGCCCTGGGAGGAGCCTCAGATCCTGGAAAAGCTCTGGGGCCACCTCCCAGGTTTGGGGGACAGAGCTCCAAGAGGGGACGGCTAGGGCCATGAGCCCCAATGTGGCCACTGTGTGCTCACCCCTTCGCCTTCTTCTTCTTTTCCTCCACATGATTAGGCCAAGTGTGGGGACAACGATGACGATGACAATGACGATGATGATGACGACGAGAGGCCACGCCCTGGGGGAGCTGCTGGTCCCGGGTCTGGCCTCGGTCTCCAGCCAGCTGCTGCACCTGCAGGAGTGGGGCCGAGGACGTGGGAGCGGCAGGTGCAGTGCCCAAGCTCACTCAGCTCCAGGGCGGTCCCGGCTCCCAGGGCTCCTAGTGGTGAAGGCAGGTCCCAGGGAGGCTGGGCTAGAGCCAGCTCTGGGATGAGACCTCAGAGGTCTGTCTGGCTTTTCCAAGTCGGGCTATGGGGAGGTGGAGAGAAGAAAGGAAAAGGGGAGAAACAAGGAGAGACTGGGCAAAGAGGACAGGATGGCAGAGGGGCAGGGGAGAGAAGCAGGAGTCAGCCGGCGTGCAGGGACTACAGGGCAGGGCGGCAGTGGCGGAGGAGGACAGAGGGTGGAGGGAAAGCCAGTGTTGGGATAGAAACTTACAGCCAGAGCCAGAGACAGACAGCACTGAGCTGGGGCCAGAGGATGAGGAGGGCAGAGCAGGGTGGAAGGCCCCTCTACCCACCTCCTTGGGGCAGCCACCCCTGCCCCATCCCAAACTCCACTGGGGTACCCTAGCTCCTCTCAAGAAGCTCTGAAGTCTCAGGTCAGCTGGGCCCAGGGTCAGCATTTGAGGTGTCCCCCCGCAGGCAGACAAAGAGCAGGGAGCTCACTTTGAGAACTCACAGCCTCTCCCGCCCCCTGAAGCCCAGGGAGCCCTCCATGGCCCTGACATGCAGGGACACCCACCACCCCAGGGGACAGGGTCTCTGGAGGCAGCCTCCCTCTGGCCCGCTTCTGGGAAGGCCCATCCTGAGTCTCCAGGAAGCTCAGATCTGATGAGCCTTTGTCTGGGGCACACAGGCTTCAGCTCTTCAGCTCTCCTGGACACAGGCCTGTGACCAGGTGCCGCCCAGGGCGGGACCTTCAGACCTTTCTGCTGGAGAAGACGATCATCTCCCAGGGAAGCAATGTGGAGCCCCCACCCCAGGGCACAGCACTGGGTTTCCCCTGAGGTCTCTTACTTGGTCCAGTGCTGACATCTCTCCAGGGTCCCACTGGGAGAGAAGGTCCCTGGGGGGCAGTTCTGACACAGGGTATCCTGACCCTCAGTGCCTGAGAAAAGAAAGGAATGGGCAGAGGGGGCTGAAGGCACCAGGCTGGGAGGGGCTGGGGGCACCAGGCTGGGAGGTGGCTGGGGGCACCAGGCTGGGAGGGGCTGGGGGCTGCTTGTCTGTGCCCTTCTAGGTCAGGGTGCTCTGCTGGTGGTGTGAGGGCCTAGCGGAGGGGCAGGTTCCCTGTTGGGAGTCCTGCAGGTGAGGCCTGGGGTGGTGGCTTTGGCTGTCCCAGACCTTGAGAAGCTGGGATTTCATGAGTCTGGGGGTCCCTCTGTGTCCACATCCCGCAATACTGTGGGGGCTGCCTGTCAGGTGCCAGGCCAGGCTGGGCGCTCACCCCTCCCAGACTGAGCTTGAACAGTGGCAATGACCATGGCCACTCCTATAAACCCAGGCTCCATGCCTGGGGCCCAAGAATGAGGCCTGGGGACTGGAGAGTCCCAGAACCCCAAGGGTGATGCACCTGGGTGGCCTTTCCCTGCCCCTCCCCCAGCTCCATCGCCTGTTCCCTGCTGGGCAAGGCTGGGGTGTGTGGCCTGGAGCTGGCCAAGGTTCTGCCTCACCAGGGCCCCTGGGCAGGCCATGATGTCGAGGAGACCTGGGGCGCCACCCACCACTCACCTCCCTTCTGCACCCTCTGGTCTGGGCTGGAGGTGGCGTGGGCCTGGCACACAGCGCAGTGGTCCCCGTCCTGGAGGACGCAGAAGTGGCCTGGGCCGCAGCTGCACAGGGTGTTCTCTGTCCTGGAGCAGTTCCGGGTGGCGAGCAGGCCCATGGCTGGGGTCCAAGAGGGGGAGCTGAGAGCAGCAGCCGGGCTGGGAGGCTGTGCCGATGTCCTATCCTGGACGCGGTGCGCAGAGGCTGGGACAGCGTCCACAGGCCAGGGACTGCTGCCCGGGTCCCCTGCCGGGCTGCACCCCTGGCTCAGCCAAATGAGGTGCCTGGCATGGAGGACCTGAGGCCCGGAGGGGCACCAAGGGACAGCTGAGCTGTGTGTGGGATGAGGGCCTGCGGGAGGGTCCTATAAGGGTCTCACTGACGGGAGCCAGGCCTTGTGGAGAAACCAGACTTCTGCCCAGATGGGCAGGACACAGAGCTTCCACTGCCAGTCCTGGGGCAGGGTCCCTCGGGCAGGTCTTTGCCCTATGTGCCCACCCTGGACACTCAGCCCTCAGACAGGCTTCCCATCTGTGCAAACCAGGCGGGTAGGGTGAGAGCCCCCTTCTTCAGGTGCTGCTGGAGGTGGGGTAGCAGCTAGGTCTGAGCCCCAGCCCTGGGCCCCTCCTGGGGGCAGCCTCACCTGCAGGCTGTACCCCCAGATTCTTAGCCCAATCAGACAGGTACTTTCACAAGAGGGGAGGGCAGTGGACTGGGCATGCAGGTTGAGGTGTGAACCCCAAATCCCATGCATAAACCTTCAAAGCACTCCAGCTTCTGTTCTGTTCATAGCCCACCTGCCAGTACCTCCCTGCAAGGCCCAGGCCCTGCCCCAGCTGCAGTCCTGCCTGGCCTGGTGAGCACTTGTTGTGCTGAGCCTGGCTTGAGGCTCTGACGGGACAGAGCCGCTGGCTGCATGGCCTGGTTCTGCGCTCCAACTCAAAGGCATGCCTCTGGGGCTGGTTCCCCTGTCTGCCTTGACCCAGGTGGGCACCAGCCTCCAGGCAGCCCCTTCCCCTGGGGTCATGTGAGAACCCAATTTCTGGAGGAGAAAGAGACAAGGAGCCCTGTGGGGAAGCAGCAGGTCCCAGTGCCCTCCAGAGAGCCCCAGCACTGGCCAGTCCACTTTCCAGCTAGGGACATGGGCACAGGAGAGGTCTGGGCACCCACTCAGGGCACCGGAGGGCCAAGGATGAGGTGCTGAGCTCAGGACAGCCCACCTGACAAAGGGAGAGGTGGGGCACGGCCCCCTTGGGGTGAGGCAGAAGTGGGCGGAGGCCAGTACTGGCCTGAAGGTGTCCCCTGCAGGGCACACCCATGGAGATGGGGGTAGGACCTGGCCTGGGGCAGCTGGGGCCTCCAGGAAGACTGGTCATGGCAGGAGGGTGTGGGTCGGCTGTGTCGACCCCTTACCTGGATCACACATTTGGCACTTCAGACACTTGCTCAGGCCGTTGAGGTGGGCAATGTAGGTCCCTGGAGGGCAGGGCTCACATACTGTGCCCGTCAGCTCCTCGCAGGGCTGCTTCACACGGTAACCTGCCGCCCAGAGGGTGGGAACTTGGCAGGGCTGTGGGAGACCCCTGCGGGAGCCCACCCATCATGGATGCCTGCGCCTGGGGGCTGAGCAGGGGGACACCAGCTAAGGGGACTCAGATGGCCCATGAGCTGTTCCCTGAGGGACACAACAGCCCCAGCTGCCTTCCATGAGCGGAGCTGCTCTGGTAAGAATCGGAAAGTTCTGGAAGCACGTAGGGCCTCCTGGGACACCTGGCCCAGCTCTGGTATGTCCCCCCCACCCCAGAGCCCATATCTCTGGTCAAGATGGGCCAGCCACATCCTTCAGACCCACCCCTGTGCAGTGTGGCTGTTCGAGTCTCCCAGGGTGAGTTGCCCAAGCTGCTGCCCTGGGGCTCCCTCCCTCCCTGTGTGTGCAGCTGGGCCTGGGGTTTCACGGCACCATGGCTGTGTGAGCAGAGAACACGGGGTGTCCAGGGCGGAGAGGGGCACGAGTGTCTGCCCTCAGCCCATGGAACCGGCCCACCGGGGGCTGCACTTACCCGGGCTGCACTTGGGGCAGCACTCGGTGCCCACTGGGTACTCATCCTCTTTGCAGGAGGGCAGAGCTGGGGCGCAGCAGGGGGCTCCCAGGATGGTGAGATATAGCACCTAAGGGCGCCAGGACAGGCGCTGGGAGATGCTTGGCCCCACAGCCTGAGCCTCCCCCTGTGCAATGGGGAGGGTGGCAGTGTCTGGCAGAGGGGACAGCAGCAGGCCCCAGGCTAGGCTCAGGAACAACCGTGCCCACCCCTGCAGCCTGGGGTCCAGTGGGGACCGTCCCTCCTCCAGCCTTGATGCCCCTGCCTGGCAGTGTGGCACCCTGGGAACTGATACTTGGCCCTGTCCAGGGTCCCCAGCCCCACACCTGGGAGTCTTGAGCCCTCTGGCAGACCACCTGTCAGCCCCTGCGCTGGTCTAGGCTGGACCTGCTGATCCCTGTCAAGCCAGCAGGGCAGCCAGGGACAGCACCCAGGGCTCACAAGCCAGACAGTGGGTGACAGGCTGGCCAGGGCTGTCAGGACTGGGGAGGCAGCTCTGCCATGGGCTCATTCCTGGGCTGGCTGATGGGTAGTCAGGGACCCTGATGGGGGAAGCAGTTGGACAGGCAGGAGCGCCACACAGGCTCGGAGGGTGTCCCCCGCCGGCCCAGCCCCCTGCTGCACAAACATGATCTTGTCACCTGTCACCAAGGTCAGGGCTGCTGGGGAGTTGGGTCATCTACTCCAGACCCACCCAGAGACACCCAGCCCCCGGAAGTGCCCACATCCTGCCAAACAGCCTCCCCAGCTGCCCGTGGATGGAGCGGTGAGTGGGGAACACACAGGAGGAGGCCTGTGGCAGCGGGGTGGGCTGCGGCTCTGCTTCTCCCTCTCTGTGCTGAGCCCAGTGCGGGGGGGTCTGGGTCAGCTGGAGAGGCCTGGGCAGCAGGGGACAGGCTGAACAAGGGACCCAGCCACAGCCAGTATGGGGGTGGTGGGGGTGGGGAAAGGAATTCTCTGAGAGGCCCTGGGGTCAGAACCAGTATCTGGGAACAGATGGGGAGGAGGCTTGGGGGCTCACCAGCCTCAAGAGGTCGGCTTTGGGGGCTGGTCTCCAGGGAAGAGGGGCCATGTGCCTCGGCTCAGGCCAGCAGTCCAGGAACCTGGCCAGTGGGTCGACCTCCGGCAGAGGAACTCGGTGCCATTGCTGCGCCTATCAGTTCAAAGAGAAAGAGAAAGAGAAACTGCCTGTGTGAGAGGCTGTGCCTCAGAATCCGAGAATCCAAGTGGCGAGAGAGCTTGTGATAGGGGCGTCTGAGAGGAGAGAAAGGCTCAGGCCTGCCGGCAGGCAGCACTGGGGGACAGGTGGGCTTGCGGAGGGGCAGGAGCTGTCCAGGCAGAGCCATAGGGAAGGGTAGGTGTGGAGGAGGCGCCCATGGGAGCGGCGAGTGCCCCCCTTCACAGGTTTAGTCCCCTCTGGGTTTCCTGTAGAGGGGGAGCCCCGAAAGGTGCATTCCCACCTCACTCACACGTGCAGGGACCCTGAGGTGCCGACTGACGTTTTTGCCGAATAAAGGGGCTCTGTCCGTTTCCTGTTCCCATCTCAGCTCCGCCCAAGAGCCTAAACTTCCCTTCCGAAGTAAAACTGCCACAGTGCTGTCTGACCAGTTTCAGTCACATGCCGCCAGCCCTGCGTCCTGTGACGTGACGGGAAGAGAGTGGGAAAGGCCCAGAGCCCCCACCTGCCCCCTGGGAGGGGAGGGGGCAGCTCTTGCGCCCCCTGCAGAGACGCTTCGTGGACTGCGAAGGCTGCTCACCCGGTCTCCCTGTGGACCCTGCCCTGACCAGGTCTCAGCCTCCCAGTGGCCGAGGTCCCGCTGGGCTTCCCTGCCCTGCAGAGCCTAGTGCTGAGGAGACCTCTGCACAGAAGCAGCCACAGCCCCAGGCCTCAAGGCAGGTACCAGTGAGTCCCTCATGACTGCCTGCTCCCTGCATCACATGGAGGCCTGTGACCCACGTGACGGCACCAGGGCCCCTGTGGCCCCTTTCTGCTCCTGGGCGTGGTGCAGCCAATGGAAGCCCAGGTTTTTCACATGCCACCCGTGCTTGCCAGGAGTATGTCCCGTTTCCCCCGTCAGTGCCTGCTCCACAGCAGGAGCCACCACCTCCAGCAAGCCCACCTGCCAGACATTCGAGTTCTCCAAGCTCACGGTCGCCCTAGGACAGTGCAAAGACACAACCCCAGGCACCTTCAACATCCCACCTTCCAGGTGAAGAAACTGAGGCACCGAGAGTTGGGGTCCAGGCCAGGGGACCTCCCTGAGGGGAGCAAAGGACTGTCGGACCTCAGAAGTGGCTCTGGGGGCTGAGCCACCGCTGGGCGCTGCCTCCCGGACAGTGCTGCCTCCCGGACAAGGGCTCAGGGGAAGGCACCTCCTGTCCTGGTTCCATAAATGGGTCCCCTGACCCTGGGAAAGGGATGGACCAGAGGAGGACTCAGGTCACCATACCATGAAGCTGTGGGGAGCTTGGGGGCGTCTGGGCTGCAAACTCGGCAGGCAGGGGACCACCTGCCAAGAGGGGAAAGAGAGTGCCAGGGCGGACACCTTGGTGCACACAGAGGAACATGCAGTGGCTGAGCCAGCGCAGAGAGGTGGCGGGGCGTATGGGGGCAGCTGGAGGCAGAGCCACGGGATCCCAGGCCGGAGCAGGGGGCCTTTTTGGAGGCAGGTCCCAGGTCAACGCCAAGTGTCTACATCATCACACTATTTGATCCAGGAGGTCCCATTAGGGCATCTCATCGATAAATGCACATCCGAGGTGAAGGGTGGCCAGTGCGGGATGTGCCCGGCGGCCTTCGTAGCAAAGGAGAATTCTGGAACCAGCCAGAGTGTTCCTTGGAAGGGAGCTGGTCCCAACACAGCCGGTAGCTTCCCTCATGTCAAAGGGGGAGACTGAAACCTGGGATGGACTGTTTTCAGCACCGGGCCCCATGGAACCGGACCCCCAGCAGGAGGGGGGCGGGGCTAAAGGCCAGGGTCACCCTGGCCCTGGGCTGGAGGCCCATTCAGAACAGTGGAGCAGGGGCGGATGTCCAGGTAGGGCGGGTGGTCCTGCAGGGCTGAGGAGAAGGAGCTCAAGGCTCAGAAAGGCGTCTGCAGCAGGACCTGGCAGGCAGGGCCCCAGAAGGGAGGGAACGGCACAGACAGAAAGCTCCAGAAGGCTGCTGAGGGTCTCCGAGGCCTCCAGAGTCGGGCGCCATGTGTGTGGAGGGTAGACCCGTGAGCGTGGCGGGAGCCCTAGGGGGCTGTGGACCCCCAGAACTCACAGGTGGGAGACCGGAGTTCCAACCGTCAGAGGGAGAGTCCTGAGGACCCTGGGCCGTCGGCAGCCGCCCAGCAGGGCACGTCCCGGGAGTGGGGCCGGACCTGCTCTAAGAGGCTTCAGAACCAGCCACGGGAAGACCAAAGCGAACAGCAGGGAGCTGAACTCCACGGCAGCGTCCTTTCAAGGAAGGCCCAAAGCAACCCAGCAGAAATGCCAGGAGATCAAAGCCGTCACAGCACCGCGGTCCGCACCCAAGAGGAAGTTGCCGCCCTGCCCAGAGGCAGGGAGAGGTGCCTGTGGGCAAGTGAATCAGCAGCCATAGACCCAGAAGGGCAGCCACGGAGGAACGGTCACGTGGACCCTGAGATCACAGCCACGGTGTCCGCTGAAGGAAAACGTACGCCTGGTGTGAGAAGCGGAAGCTGTGACAGGGAACCAAGTCTGAAAGGAATAACATGCCGGGAAGCCTCCTGAGTCCCCGAGGGCGGCTGTCACAGGACGCCTCGGTCTGTGGCTTCCCGACAGAAACGCTGCCTCAGGCTGGAGGCTGGAAACCGGGGTGAGGGGGCAGCAGCTTTGCCCCCAAGAGCTCTGCTTGGGGGTGCAGGTGGCATCTTTCTGATGTCTTCACGGGTTTTCTCTCTGTGCCTGCAGCTCCCTGACATGTCTGTCCACACTTCCTCCCCCAGGAGAGCTCCAGTCGTTCGGGGTCAGGGCCCGCCCACACGGCCTCCTTCAGCCAGTCACCTCTATACAGTCCAAATCTCTTCACACCGTCCCACTCTGAGACAGCGTGAGTTCCAGAGGGATGCCGTTCAGGCGATAACAGTAGGATTAGGCCAGGTGCGCTGGCTCCCACCTGTAATCCCAGCACTTTGGGAACCTGAGGCAGGAGGATGGCTTCAGCCCAGGAGTTCCAGACCAGCCTGTGCACAGGCAAAACCCCATCTACACAAAAAATACAAAAAGTAGCCAGGCCTGGTGGCGCACACGTGGAGTCCCAGCTACTCGGGAGGCGGAGGTGGGAGGATCCGTTGAGCCGGTGAGCCCCAGAGGTCAAGGCTGTAGAGAGCCATGATCTCACCCCTGCACTCCAGCCTGGCCGACGGAGGAAGCCCTGTCTCAAAACAAAAACAAAAACAAAAACAAAAACACAGATTAACAACAGATTAGACATCTCAAAATACCAGTGAACATGAAGATACAGTATCAGAATCTACCCCACGTGAGATACAAACAGAAAATGCATAAAGGAGCAGATTCTTCAAGATGCCCTGGAAAATACGGAGCTGCCTAACAGAAGTGCAGTTAGAGTCCCAGAGAAAGAGAGAGAGAGGAGGGAACAGAACATCAGTTGAAGAAAAACAGGTGAAAGTTTTCTACACTACAAGAAAACTGTAATCTCTCAAATGCAAAAGGATAACAGACCCTAAGAGGGGTCAGTAGGGAGGCAGGTGCAGAGCAGCAAATCCTAATCAACGCCCAGAAACCAGGGCCACAGGCAGGAGCTGGACACGGGCTCGGGTGAGGCCACGTTCAGGTACAAAGAAGCAAGGACTCGTCCCAGGAACAGGGCAGGGCAGAAAGCAAGCAAACAGCCTTACGACGCTGAGAGAGCAGCTCAACTTTGGATTCCAAACCCAGTGAATCTCTCCGTCAAAAATGGGCCAAGCATGGCGGCCTGCGCCCATGGTCCCAGCAACTCGGAGGCCGAGGTAGGAGGATCCCTTGAGCCCTGAGATTCGAGGCCAGCTCAGGCAACAGAGCAAGACCTTGTCTTTTAAGTTACAAAAATAAATGAACTGGAGGCCGGGCCCAGTGGCTCACACCTGTAATCCCAGCAGTCTAGGGGGGCCGAGGCGGGAGGATGACCTGAAGCCAGAAATTTGAGCCCAGCCCGGCCAATGTGGCAAAACCAGTCTCTACTGAAAATGCAAAAATTAGCCGTGTGTAGTGGCTCATATCTGCAGTCCCAGCTACTCTGGAGGCTGAGACACCAGAATCGCCTGAACCCGGGAGGCAGAGGTTGCAGTGACCCGAGCTCATGTCACAGCACTCCAGCCTGGGCCACAGAGCAAGACTCTATCTCATAAATACATAAATATATAAAGAAAGAAAGAAATGGAAGCAAATCAAAGACGGAGGACTTACTGACAGCTGAGAGAAGGTCTCACAGCAGACAGGCTTGCATGACAAGAAACATCCAAGGGCTTTCTTCAAGCACAAGGAGTTTGATTCATATGGAAATTGGGTTTTTTTTTTGAGATGGACTCTCACTCTGTCTCAAGGCTGGAGTGCACTGCTGCCATTTGGCTCACTGCAACCTTTGCCTCCTGGGTTCAAGGAATTCTCCTGCCTCAGCCTCCCGAGCAGCTGGGATTACAGGTGCGCACCACCACGCCTGGCTGATTTTTGTATTTTAGTGGGGATGGGGTTTCACCATGTTGGCCAGGCTGGTCTCAAACTCCTGACCTCTGGTGATTTGCCCACCTCGGCCTCCCAGAGTGCTGGGATAACAGGCGTGAGCCACCGTGCCCTGCCTCATGTGGAAATTTACATCTACTCAAAGGAATTATGGATGAGGCCAGGCATGGTGGCTCACACCTGTAATCCAAGCACTTTGGAGGTCAGGTGGGCGGATCACCCCAGGTCGGGAGTTCAAGACCAGCCTGACCAACATGGTGAAACCCGTCTTCAAAAAATAAAAATAATAATAATAAAAGGAATTATGCATGAAAGAAATGGCAAATGTGGGAGGAAATGTGAGACCTTTTTTCTCACTTTAAATACCTTCAAAAATAATAAATTGCTTAATGCAAACGTGTTAGCGATGAGCTGTGACGTCTGTGGAATGTACAATGAAAAGCATGATAATAGTCCCAGGCACGGAGGGGAAAGGCAAGAGTGAGGCGGTGAGATTCTTCTGGTTCCGTGCTTCCTGGGACGGTGCAGGCGTGTTCAGTGTTCCCACAACCTGAACACAGGCTGTCACAAGGGCAGATGGACGTCACAAACCCTGCAGCAACCACCGAGTAAGGAAAACAAAGACGGACCGCTAAGAATCAGCCACGCGGCTGAAATGAAATACGACAGAAATCGTCAGACAGAGGGTAGGAAAAGGGGAATCAGAAACGTGCAACAGCACAGAATGGAAAGGTGATGTTCCCACACCCACCGCACAGGTGATGACTTTGAATAGAAATGGTCCCAATATTCCAGTTAATACAGAAACGGTCATATTAGACACAAAGCCAAGAGCCAACCAAAGGCCGCCCACAAGAAACCCGCTTTACACTTTAAGTAATGGGCTGGGGCCGGGCGCGATGGCTCACGCCTGTCCTCCCAGCACTTAGGGAGGCCGAAGTGGGAGGACAGCTTGAGTCCAGGAGTTCAAGACCTGCCTGGGCGATATAGAGAGAGCCTCTTCTCCAAACAAAGGAAGGAAAGGACCAAAAAAGAAGAGAAATGGACTGGTTAATGGAAAAAGGATGGCAGCTGGAAATTGCAAGTTGCAGAGACCAGGGAGCCACGCAGAAGCGGAGCCGGGAGTCGGCTGCAGAGTCGCCCCCGGCCTCACGCCGCAGGTGAAATATGCCGAGTCTTCCGGACCATCAGGAGCCAGGCAAGGATCCCCCTCCAGCACCTGCACTCAACATGGTACCGCAGGTCCTAGCTGGGGCAGTTAGACAGGAGAAAGAAATGGAAGGTATAAGGACTGGACGGGAAGGGGAAAGACATCGCCTCTCTGCAGAGAATATGCTTGTGTCTATGAAAGTCCAAGAAGCCGACAAAACAGGTATGAAAACCAGTAAGCTTATTATTGAGGTCACAAGACGCAAGGTCGAGATTTTTTAAGTCAACACTGGAATTTGAATTTTAGAGGAAGCAAGAACATATCAGCATCAAAAAAACCGTCAAATGCTGAAGGGGAAATTTAACCAAATCCACACACGGCCAGTGAGAACGCTGCCGAGAGAAGTGAAAGAAGACCTAGTAACGGGAAAAGCCTGGCTGTGGACGCATCGGAAGACTGCGTGTGGGGAAAACACACCTCCCCCCGCATGGACCCATGCGATCCCAGTCAGCATTCCAGGAGGCTTGGACGTGGAAATCGAGCAGCTGATCTAAAGAGATCCATGAAAACAGACAGGACATTCAGCAGCCAAATAATAGCGGAAAGGAAGCGCAAAATTGGGGTATTTTCATTTCCTGACGTCAGGACTGACTAGCGCTTCAGCCATTGAGAGGGAGTGGGGCGGCATGAGGAGGGCCAAGAGGTCAGTGGAACAGGAGGGGCCGGAGGGAGAGTCACTCACAGACGAAGCAGGCGTCTCGGACAGACATGAAAGGTAATGAGGCGGGTGAAGACAGGCTTTTCACAAATGGTTTCTGAGTACTGGATAAATGACAGGGGACAATGGCCTCGACCTTTACCTACATGACCCAATAAATCAGCTTGAAACAGATGGTAGGTTGTAAAGCTCAAACTCTAAGGCTTCCCGAGAAATCCCTGGTGAAAAGATGTGTGGCCTGGACGTGGGCAGAGATGTCTTGGACAGGACACAAAACACAAGAGCCATGATGGAAAATCTGAGAAATCGGACTCATCAGCATGAGATCCTGCTCTTGGACCTGTGCTTTTCAGGAAATTAAAAGGCAAACTGCAGCCGGGCACGGTGGCTCAAGCCTGTGATCCCAGCACTTTGGGAGGCTGAGGCAGGTGGATCATGAGGTCTGGAGTTGGAGACCAGCCTGGACAACATGGTGGAACTCCATCTCTACTAAAAACACAAAAATTAGCCAGGCATGGTGGCGCACATCTGTAATCCCAGATACTCGGGAGGCTGAGGTGGGAAAATCCTTTAAACCAGGAGGCGAAGTTTGCAGTGAACTGAGATTGCACCATTGCACTCCAGCCTGGGCGACTCCATCTCAAAAAAATAAAAAGGCAGACCACGCAGTGGGTGACGAGGCTCATGAC